TTTATTACTACAAAAATTTACTATTTTAGACATGTTTTAAGTTTCTTCTTGTCGAAATAAGTCTACACATTTTAAGAAAAAAAGGCAAAATGTAGCCCCGCCCGCCCACCCTATCTCAATTGTGATGATTTTTTTTTATTCGTCTGGAGCCAAGAGGGCGGAGCTTAACTGCAAAACCCTTATTTCTCTTCGAGAAATTATAAACATATTTTTCAGTATCGGATTGTTCAAAGAATACTATATTTATTAAGAAACAAATAAAGCCAAAGATTAAGCCCCACGCATACCCACCCCGACCTCAATTCTCATTTGTGAGGAATATTCTATTTGTTGTCAGATCGAGGGGGGGCTTAATTGCAAGATGCATATTTATCTACTAGAATTTACTATTTTTAAGTTCCTTGTTGTGAAGAGACGTCTACATATATTAAGAAAAAAGACAACATATAAGCCCCGCCCACCCGCCCTGTCGCAATTGTAATGATTTTTTTTAATCATTCGTTGGAAGACGTAGGGGCGGATCCTAATTATAAAATCCATGTTTCCTTACGAAAATTTGCCATTTTAAACGTGTTTGAAGTTTCTAAAAATAAAAAAGTTCATCACAATTGAGATGGGGTGGGTGGGCGGGGTATATATTTTCCCATTTTTTCTTAACATACAGAGTATTCTGTGAACAACACGATACTAAAAAATATGTTTCTAATTTCTTGTAAAGAAATAAGTATTTTGCAGTTAAGCTCCGCCCCGCCCCCTTGGTTCACGGCAAATAAAAAAATCATCACAATTGAGATAGGGCGGGTGGGCGGGCTTTTATTTTGTTGTTTTGTTTCAATCTGTGTAGATTTCTTTTCACAATATGAAACTCAAAACATGTTTAAAATCAAAAATTTGTATAAGGAAATGTTGATTTTGGTATTAGGCTCCGCCCCATATTTGCAAAATCCATATTTCCTCGCAAAAATGTAGTATTGTAAACATGTTTTAAGTTTCTTGTTGTGAAAAGATGACTATGTATATTAAGAGAAAAAAAGGCAAAATATAAACCCCGCCCACCCACCCTGTCCCAGTTCTGATGATTTTTTTTATTCGTCGTCAGCCGAGGGGTGAAGCTTAATTATGAAATCCTGATTTTTCTACGAGAAATTACCATGTGAAAAAGTAATCGTGTTATAAGAAGAAAATTATGTCTATATATTATGTTTTCTTTGTATGTATATTCTCGTTTATGTTATTTTTCAATTTGTTTACTCCTTTATCTAGTTTATAAGTTTAGTAAGATTTATATTTTTGATGTTTTTTTTCTCTCTGAATACTTTTGTTTATGTTATTTGTTTCCACTATAGACTAATTGTCTGTTGGAATAAGGCTTTATTTATTTATTTATCTATTTATTAAGAAAAAACACAAAATATAAGCCCCCCCCCCACCCACCCTGTCTCAGTTGTAATAATTTTTTTTAATCGTCGAGAGCAAAGGGGCGGAATTTTTAATTGCAAAATCGTTATTATTTCTCTAGAACAAATTATTTTTCAATTTTTAAAATTCTAATTTTTCCCATTTCTCTCTCGACTTATCAAAGTTTAGATTTTTCATTTCTTCAATTCTTCAATTTTTCGATTTTTCAGGTTTTTAATTTCTCAATTTTTTGGATATTTCTTTCAGTTTTGGGATTTTTCAATATTTCGATTTTTCGTTTTTTCAACTTCTGGATTTTTCGATTTTTTATTTTTTGGATTTTCAGTTTTTCGTTTTTTAAACTTTAGATTTTTCAATTTTTTTTTTTTATTACTACAAAAATTTATTATTTTAGACATGTTTTAAGTTTCTTCTTGTCGAAATAAGTCTACACATTTTAAGAAAAAAAGGCAAAATGTAGCCCCGCCGGCCCACCCTATCTCAATTGTGATGATTTTTTTTTATTCGTCTGGAGCCAAGAGGGCGGAGCTTAACTGCAAAATCCTTATTTCTCTACGAGAAAATATAAACACGTTTTCTGAGTTTCGCATTGTTGAAAGAATACTATGTGTATTAAGAAAAAAATAAAGCCAAAGGTTAGGCCCCACCCTGATCTCAATTATCATTTGTGATGAATATTCCATTCGTTGTCAGATCGAGGGGCGGGGCTTAATTGCAAGATACATATTTATCTATTAGAATTTTCCATTTTAAGCATGTTTTAAGTTTTTTGTTCTGAAAAGACGTCTACACATATTAAGAAAAAAGACAAAATATAAGCCCCGCCCACCCGCCCTGTCTCAGTTGTAATGATTTTTTTTAATAATTCGTTGGAAGATGTAGGGGCGTATCTTAATTACAAAATCCATGTTTCGTTACGAAAGTTTACCATTTTAAACGTGTTTTAAGTTTCTAAAAAAAAAAATCATGACAATAGAGATGGGGTGGGTGGGTGGGGTATATATTTTGCCTATTTTTCTTAACATACGTAGTATTCTGTGAACAAACCCATATTCAAAACATGTTTTTAATTTCTTGAAAAGAAATAAGTATTTTGGCAGTTCAGCTCCGCCCCCTTGGTTCACGGCAAATAGAAAAATCATCACAATTGGGATAGGGCGGGTGGGCGGGCTTATATTTTGTTCTTTTTGCTTCAATCTGTGTAGAGTTCTTTTCACAATATGAATTTTAAAACATGTTTAAAATTGAAAATTTGTATAAGAAAATTTTGATTTTGCAATTAGGCTCCGCCCCATAATTGTACCATTTTAATCATGTTTTAAGTTTCTTGTTGGAAAAAGGTGACTATGTATATCAAAAAAAAAAAAGGAAAAATAGAAGCCCCGCCCACCCACCCTCTCTCAATTCTAATGATTCTTTTTATTCGTCGTAAGCCGAAGGGCGGTGTCTAATTACAAAATCCATATTTCCTTACAAAAATTTACCATTGTAAACCTATTTTAAGTTTATGAGAATAAAAAAAATCATCACAACAGAGATGGGGTGGGTGGGCGGGGTATATATATTTTGCCTTTTTTCTTAATATACATAGTATTCTTTGAACAACACGATACTCGAAAACATGTTTTTAATTTCTTGTAAAGAAATAAGTATTTTGCAGTTAAGATCTACCCTCTTGGTTCACGGCAAATAAAAAAAATCATCACACTTGAGACAGGGTGGGTGGGCGGGCATATATTTTGTCGTTTTGTTCCAATCTGTGTAGACTTCTTTTCACAACATGAAACTTAAAACATGTTTAAAAATGAAAATTTGTATAAGGAAATATTAATTTTGCAATTAGGCTCCGCCCCATAATTCCAAAATAAACATTTTTTTTTGCAAAAATGTACCATTTTAATCACGTTTTAAGTTTCTTGTTGGAAAAAGTTTTAAGTTTCTTGTTGGAAGAAGATGGCTATGTATATTAAGAAAAAAAAGACAAAATATAAGCCCCGCCCACCCACCCTGTCTAAATTCTGATGATCGTTTTTATTCGTCGTACGCCGAGAGGTGGAGCTTAAGTATAAAATCCTGATTTTTCTACGAAAAATTACCATGTGAAAAGGTAATCGTGTTATAAAAAAAAAAAACCATGTCCATACATTAAGAAAAAAGACAAAGTATAAGCCCCGCCCACCCACCCTGTCTCAATTGTAATGATTTTTTTTCAATCGTCGAAAGCAAAGGAGCGGAATTTAATTGTAAAACCGTTATTATTTCTGTAGAAGAAATTATTTTTCAATTTTCAAAATTCTAATATTTTAATTTCTCAATTTTTAGATATTTCTTTCAGTTTTTGGATTTTTCAATATTTCGATTGTTCGACGTTTCGATTTTTCGATTTTTATTTTTTGGATTTTTAGTTTTTCGTTTTTCAAACTCTGGATTTTTCAATTTTTCTACTGTTTCATGTTTTAAAATGCTATATTTTTCGATTTCTCGAATTTTCAGATCTTCTGTATTTTAATTTTTCAATTTTTCGAATTTTTAAATTTTCGATTTTTCAATTTTTTGAGATCCCGACTTATGGATGTTTTGATTGTTCAATCTCTCGACTTATAATTTTTTCTTAACTTTTCGATGTTTCGACTTTGGCCTATTTATATTTCAAAACATCGAAAAACTGGAAAATCGAAAAATTAAAAAAAATTGAAAATCGAAAATTTAAAAATTCCGAAAACTGAAAATTGGAATATAGGACTGAAAACTCAAGAAATCGAAAAACCTAAAATTTTAAAAATTGAAAAGTTCAAATATCAAAAATTGAAAAATAGAAGAAAAATTGAAATCGAAAAACTGGAAAATCACAAAAATGAACGCAACATGAAAAATTGAGAAACCGAAAAATCAAAAAGCAAAGACGAAAAATTACAAACAAAAAATCGAAAAACAAAGTTCTCAGGCGACGTAATTTCAAGGAGATATAACAAGAAAGTCACTTTTATATTACACAAACCAAGGATAACTAGGCAACCAACAATACACACGCACTAAAGCTTCTAGTAAATAGTAAAATTTAAGCACTATATCCCCAAAAATACGCATAACAGGACAAAATAAACACCAAAACACAACTAAACGTGAAAATTAAACAACCCCTTTGAACCAGTTTGCAAAAAAAATGTTCCTCCTTGTGCCCCGAATATTTTAATTTGATTTATTGCACCGTTTCAGCGACACCGTTAAAAATAAAAAACAGATGTTCTCGTAGTTAAATTGGTCATTAAACGACGCTTCTAAGTCAAGGTGTTGCCAGACCAAACCCCAACTTTCTGAATATTTATAAATTTCTTACACCAAAACAGCAAACCTCCCTCTTTATACCTTTTCACAACTACTAAACAAAATCGCCCAAATTATCCACCAAAAATACAACACTGCCAATCAATCAAACACACGTTTTCGCAATCAGATCCTTCCAAACAGTGGAAACTCACTGAAATAATAAACACCAGCCGATCGCGTTAGAAATCTAAAAATACCAGACCAAGTCCGAGTTCATGGAACCTCGACAGCCACATTGTTTGACAAAAAAGCCCCAAAATCGCGTCTAAAAAGTGCCACTGCGCATACCCGTGATGCTCCTTCTCCTTGTCTTATGTTGTCTGAAAATCGGTGCAACAACAAAGTCACAAACGCAGCTATTAAGAATTGGTAAGTAAAAACGCGAAAAAAGCATGTATAACTGGTTGCATACTTTCGAGGTGGTTTATTCCACGACAAAGATGACGAACAGGCCTTCCACATCGCCGCCAAGATGGTCAACAGGAAGTACCCTACCGGACCCTTCCGACTCGTTCCGGAAAGCTTTCTAGTTTCAAAGCACAACGCTTTTACTAGTTACAGTCGAACTTGCAGCTTTTTGCACAAAGGCACAGTTGCGATTTTCGGTCCCAGTTCAATTCATTCGTCGTCGTACATTCAAACTCTTCTGGATCGCAAAGAAATCCCTCATGTGGAGACCCATTGGGACCGGAAGCTCCTCAGACACAACTGTTTGCTAAATCTTCACCCTCATCCCTCGATTCTAACCCAAGCTTTTCTGGACGTGGTACGCACCTGGAATTGGAAGAACGTGGTTTTGATTTACGATAGTGAGGAAAGTTTGGCCAGGATGAGTCCTTTCGTGTCTTCGTTTAGGCGCTGGGTCACCCTCAGGAGGATTGATTTGGACCACTTTGGTACTTATCGAAGTTCTCTGACAAGTATTAAAATGACCGGTGCCACTAATTTCATCATTGAGTGCTCCATCGAAGTTCTAGAAGAAGTTCTAAAGCAAGCGCAACAAGTTGGAATGATGACGGAACGCCACAACTACATGATCACCAATCTAGATCTACAAACCATAGATCTAGCGGCTTTTCAGTTTTCGGGAACGAACATCACAGGAGTAAGTAGATACTTACTTAAGTTGAATAGATAGTGGTTTGTAGTTTAGGGTGGTCAATCCTGAAGACGAGTTCGTGGTTGGGGTTGCTGAAAAGATCTACGGGAAAAGCTACAACGGGATGCCACCAGGGTGGAGATTAAGACTAAAAACGGCTTTAATAGTAGATGCCGTTGATTTGTTTTACGAAACGGTACTAGATTTAACTGTGTCGGAACAGGTCGTGATTAAAGGGTACCCACTGAAGTGTAATGGTACTACAAACTGGAGAAGTGGTCACACGATTGTCAACTACATGAAAGGGGTACTGTTAGAAGTTAGAAGATCTTAGATTATTTAGACTTTTAGAAGAGCATTTTAGGCCTCACCGGGATTGTCCATTTTGACGTGGAAGGTTTCCGAAGAGACTTTGTTCTAGATGTTTTGGAACTTACCACAGGAGGGTTGGTCAAAGCTGGTTCATGGTTCCCAAATGCTGGAATCACGGTTACCAGAACTCCACCACCAGTCATACAGACTGAAGACAATAGTTTAACCAATAAAACATTCACTGTCATCACTTGTTTGGTAAGACAATTCCGCCTAAGAACTTGTTTGATCTACAGACCAGAGCGCGTTTAGGCCAATGTCGTCTCTAAGCGTTCAGAAGCGATACGGTTGATTTGGACACGGTTTAACTAAGAATTAATTCTTTAATTGTGTTTTATACTTGCAAAACCTCTTAAATTAACAAAAAATCGAAAAAACGAAAAATTCAAAAACCGAAAACGAAAAATTGAGAAATTGAAACTCCTAAATTTAAAAAACTGGAAAATCGAAAAACCGAAAATCCCGGAAATCAAATAGTCAAAAAATCGAGAAATCGTGAAGTCGAATCATTGAGAAACCAAAATAAAAAATCGAAAAGTTATAAATTGAAAAACTCATAAATCAAGAAACTGAACACTGAAAATATCGAACATCAAATCTCAATAAATTAGTAAATCAAAACATTGAAAAATCGAAAATTTGAAAAAATCGAAAAACTAAGAATTCAGAAAAGTCAAAAATTGAAAACTCGAAATATTTAAAAATCGTAAAATTGAAGTGAAAATTGGAAGAACGTAAAACTGAAACATCGGAAAATTGAGAAACCGAAAAATTGAAAATCGAGAAATTGAAAAATTTGGAAATTGTAAAATCGAAAACTTGAATAATGAATAAACTGAAAAATCCCAAAACCGAAATTTCAAAAAATTGAAAGATGAAATATCCAAAAACTGAGAAATTAAAAAATTGAAAAATTAAAAAATGAAAAATTTGAAAAATTGAAGAATTGAAAATTTGCCAAAACCAAATATTTATAAATCGTCAAATTGAAGAGAAGAAAAATTGGAAAAACGTAAAAATGAAACATCGGAAAATTGAGAAATCGAAAAATTTAATAATAAATAAACTGAAAAATTCGAAAATTCAAATTTCGAAAAATTGAGAGATTAAAAAATTGAAAAAGTGGGAAACTGAAAAATCAAAAAAGTGAAGTCGAAAAACCGAAACCTTAAAAGTCGAAAAATTGAAGAATTTAAGAACAGGAAAATTGAATACAGTCAAAAGTCACGAAATGGGAAATTCAAAATATCGCTTAATTGAAAAATCGAAAAATTGAGAAATTGAAAAATTGAGAAATTGTAAAATCGAAAAATTGTAAAATGGAAAAATTGAGTAATAAATAAACTGAAAAATCCCAAAACTAAAATTTAGAAAAATTGAAAAATGAAAGAAAGGCTGAAATGCCAAAATTGAAATATTCAAAAACTGAGAAATTAAAAAATCAAAAGCCTAAAAAATTGAAGAATTGAAGAAATGAAAAATCGATAAATTGAGAGTCTATAGAAGTCAAATTTGAAATATTGCAAAAGCCAAATATTTAAAAGTCGTAAACGTGAAGAGGAGAAAAATTGGAAAAACGTAAAAATGAAACATCGGAAAACTGAGAAATCGAAAAATTGAAAATTGAGAAATTGAACAATTGAGAAATTGTAAAATCGAAAAATTGTATAATAAACTATCTGAAAAATGCCAAAAGTCAAATTTCAAAAAATTGAAAAATGGAAGAAAAATTGAGATGTTCAAAAACTGAGAATCTAAAAATCTGAAAAATTGAGAAATCGAAAAATCAAAAAAGTGAAGTCGCAAAATCGCAACCTTGGAAAAAATCGAAAAATTGAAGAATTGAAGAACAGGAAAATCGAAACAGTCGGAAGTCAAAAAATGGGAAAATCACAACATCGGTTAATTGAAAAATCGAAAAATTGAAAAATCCAAAAACTAAAAAAATCAACATATCGAAAAATCCAGAAGTCAAAAAAGTCGAAGAATCGAAACATTGAAAAATCTCAAAACTGGAAAATGAAAGAAAAACTGATAAATCCCAAAGCTGAAATGTCCAAAAACTGAGAATCTAAAAAATTGAAAATTGGGAAATCGAAAAATCAGAAAAGTGAAGTCGAAAAATCGAAACCTTACAAAAAATCGAAAAATTGAAAACTCAAAAACCTGAACAATCGAAAAATTGAAGAATTGAAGAACAAGAAAATCGAAACAGTTGAAAGTCAAGAAATGAGAAAATCACACATCGGTCACTTGAAAAATCGAAAAACAAAGAATTCAGGAAAGTCAAAAATTGAAAACTCGAAATATTAAAAATCGTAAATTTGAAGTGGAAATTGGAAGAACGTAAAACTGGAACATGGGATAAATTAAGAAATCGAAAAATTGAAAATCGAGAAATTGAAAAATTGGAAAATTGAAAATCGAAAGAAAAATCAAAAAATGGAATATCCAAAAGCTGAGAAATTCAAAATTGAAAAATTGAAAAATCAAAAATTGAAAAAATTTAAAAATTGAAGAATTGAAGAAATGAAAAATCGAAAAACTGAGAATCTATAGAAGTCAAATTTGAAATATTGCAAAAGCCGAATATTTAAAAATCGTAATATTGAAGAGGAAAAAATTTGGAAAAACTTAAAAATGAAACATCGGAAAATTGAAAATCGAGAAATTGAACAATTGAGAAATTATAAAATCGAAAAATTTAATAATAAATAAACTGAAAAATTCCACAAGTGAAATTTCGAGAAATTGAAAAATGAAATAAAAAATCCTAAAACTGGGAAATTAGAAAATTTAGAAATCAAAAATTCAAAAAAGTGAAGTCGAAAACCTTAAAAAAACAGCTGAAAATTCGAAAACTTGAAGAATTAGATAACAGGAAAATCGAATAGAGACGAAAGTCAAGAACTGAGAAAATCAAAACATCGTATTAGAAAATTTAGAAATCGAAAATTCAAAAAAGTGAAGTCGAAAACCTTAAAAAACAGCTGAAAATTCGAGAACTTGAAGAATTAGATGACAGGAAAATCGAATACAGACGAAAGTCAAGAACTGGGAAAATCAAAACATCGTATACTTGAAAAATCGAAAAATTGAGAATTTATAAGTCAAAAATTAAAAAATTGAAAAATCGAAATATTTAAAACTTAAAAAATTGAAACATTGAAGAATTGAAGAAATGAAAAATCGATCTATAGACGTCAAATTTCAATATTGCAAAAACCAAATATTTGAAAATAATAAAATTGAAGAGGAGAAAAATTGGAAAAACGTAAAAATGAAATATCGGGAAATTGAGAAATAGAACAATTCAGAAATTGTAAAAACGCAATAATAAATTTTCTGAAAACTCCCAAAACTGAAATTTCGAAAAATTGAAAAATCCCAAAACTGAAATTTCCAAAAACTGAAAAATTAAAAAATTGAGAAATTGAAAAATCAAAAAAGTGAAGTCAAAAACCTTAAAAAATCAAACAGGTGAAAATTAGAAAAATTGAAGAATTAAAGAACAGGAAAATCGAATACAATCGAAAGTCAAGAAATGAGAATATCAAAAATTGAAAATTTAGAACAGTCAAAAATTGAAAAATTGAAAAATCGAAATATTTAAAAATCCTAAAATTGAAGAGGAAAATTGAAAAAACGTAAAACTAAAACATCAAAAATTTTCAAATCGAGTAGTTGACAGATTGAGAAATTAAAACATCGAAAAACTAAAAAAATGTAGATATCGAAAAATCCAGAAGTCAAAAATTGAAAAGTCGAAGAATGGAAATATCGAAAAATCCCAAAACATAAAAATGAAAGAAAAACTGAAGAATGGAAAACCTGGAAAATAAAAAAATTGAAGAATAGAAGAACTAGTAAGTTGAAACTGTCGAAAGTCAAGAGATGAGAAAATCAAAACATCGATTAATTGAAAAATCCAAAAAGTGAGAGTTTAGAAAAGTCAAAAATTGAAAAATTGAAATATCGAAATATTTAACAAACGTAAAATTGAAGAGAAAAATTGAAAACACGTTAAACTAAAACATCGGAAAATTCAAAAATCGAGAAATTGAAAACTGAGAAATTGAAAAACTGTAAAATCGAAAAATTTAATAATATTTAAATAAACTGAAAAATCCGAAAACTAAAATTTAGAAAAATTGAAAATGGAAAGAAAAATTGAAAAATCTCGAAACTGAAATATCCAAAAGCTGAGAAATTAAAAAATTGAAAAATTTAAAAATCAAAAATCGAAAAAATTGAAAAATTGAAAAACTGAGAATTTAGAGAAGTCAAAAATTAAAAAATTGAAAGGTTGCAATATTTAAAAATCGTAAAATTGAAGAAAAAATTGAAAAAAGTAAACCTGAAACATCAAAAAATTGAAAACTCGAAAAACTGAAAATCGAGTAATAGAAAAATTGAAGAACAGGAAGATCGAAGCAGTCGAAAGTCAAGAAATAGGAAAATCACAATATCGGTTAATTGAAAACTCAAAAAATTGAAAATCGAGTGATTGAAAAATTGAGAAATTAAAAAATCGAAAAACTAAAAAATCGACATATCGAAAAATCCAGAAGTCAAAAATTGAAAAGTCGAAGAATCGAAACATTAAAAAATCCCAAAACTTAAAAATGAAAGAAAAACTGAAAAATGGAAAAACTAAAAAATCCCAAAGCTGAAATATTCAAAAGCTGAGAAATTAAAAAATTGAAAATTCGAAAAATCAAAAAGTGAAGTTGAAAAATTGAAACCCCCAAAAACAGAAAAACTGAAAAATCAAAAACCTGAAAAATCAAAAAATTGAAGAATAGAAGAAAAAGTCGAAACAGTCGAAAGTCAAGAAATGAGAAAATCAAAACATCGATTAATTGAAAAATCAAAAAATTGAGAATTTAGGAAAGTCAGAAACTGAAAAATTGAAATATCGAAATATTTAAAAAACGTAAAATTCAAGAAAAAAATTGGAAAAACGTTAAACTGAATCATCGGAAAATTGAGAAATCGAAAAATTGAAAACCGAGAAATTGAAAAATTGTAAAATGGAAAAATCGAATCATAAATGAACTGAAAAATCCCAAAACTAAAATTTAGAAAAATTGAAAATGAAAAGAAAAATAGAAAAATCCCAAAACTGAAATTTCCAAAAATTGAGAAATTAAAAACCTTAAAAATCAAAAAGCTTAAAATTCGAAAAACTAAAGAGCAAAATTGAAAAATTGTAAAATCGAAGAATTGAATAATAATAAACGAACTGAAAAATGCCAAAACTAAAATTTTGAAAAATTGAAAAAGGAAAGAAAAACTGAGCAATCCCAAAACTGAAATATTCAAAAACTGAGAAATTACAAATTGAAAAATTGAAAATTGGGGAACTGAAGAATCGAAAAATCGAAAAATTGAAAATTTAAAAAACTCAAAAATTGAAAAATTCAAAAAAATTAAAAAATCGTAAAATTGAAGAAAAAAATTAAACGCAAAACTGAAACATCGAAAAATTAAGAAATAGAAAAATTGAAAATCGAGAAATTGCAAAATCGAAAAATTGAATAATAAATAAACTGAAAAATCAAAACATTCGAAAGTCAAGAAATGGGAAAATCAAAACATGGATTAATTGAAAAATCGAAAAATTGAGAGTAATAAAAGTCAAAAATTGAAAAAATGAAAGATCGAAAATTTATAAATCGTAAAATTGAAGAGAAAAATTGAAAAAAGTCAAACTGAAACATCGGGAAATGTTGAAAAATAGAGAAATTGTAAATCGAAAAATTGAATAATAAATAAACTGAAAAATACTAAAACTGAAATATCTAAAAACTGAGAACGTGAAGTCGAAAAATCGAAACCTTAAAAAATAGAAAAATTTAAAAATCAAAAACCTAAAAAACCGAAAAGTTCTAGAACTGAAAAATCGAAAATCGAACCAATCGAAAGTCTAGAAATGGGAAAATCAAAACATAGAGTTTATAAAAGTCAAAATTGAAAAATCGAAATATTTAAAAATCGTAAAATGGAAGAGCAGAAAAGTGCTAAAAATTTAAATTAAAAAATAAACAAAAATTCATGCAAAGTAGATCCTAACGTGTCCAAAACCTAAAAATAACTACACTTTTTCGGAAAAATCTATTGTATAATAACGATTCCAACAGTATTTATTAATATACGGAATTTTGCTAGTACCAAACATAATTAAAGAATTATTAATTAATTAAATTAATTAAACGAAAAATAGTAACATATCAAACAAGTTATCAGGCGACGAATTATTATATCAAAATTTCTAATGCTCATTCAACACAGACGACACCCTATGGAATGCTGAAAGAAACCACGTCTCGTCTGGAAGGAAATGATAGGTTTGAGGGTTTCGGGATTGACTTAATAGACGAACTGTCCAAAATGCTGGGGTTCAATTACACCATCATCATCCAGGAAGATGGTTACAATGGTAACTATAATTTTACCACGAACGAGTGGAATGGTCTCATCGGTGCCATTGTTACTGGGGTAACCATCACAAGAAATATCGTCACAAATATATTGTCATTGTCAATCTTGTAGAAAGCCGAGTTAGCCATCGCCGACTTAACAGTGACCGCAGAACGCGAAAGCGCCGTCGACTTCACCCTCCAATTCATGAACCTTGGTATCTCCATCCTGTACAAAAAACCCAAACCCGTCCCTCCCAGTCTCTTCATGTTCGTCTCCCCTTTCTCCTACACCGTCTGGATCCTCCTCCTGGTGACCTACTTCGTCGTGTCGTTGTGCTTCTTCGTCATGGGACGACTGTGCCCGAGCGAGTGGACCAACCCCTACCCCTGTATCGACGAACCCGAGTACCTCATCAACCAGTTCAGTATCCGAAACAGCTTATGGTTCACAATTGGAAGCTTGATGCAACAAGGAACCGAAATCGCCCCAATGTAACTAAGTTAGGTCTTGCTTTACCAATCTGTCACCCATTTGTAGAGGAATATCGACCAGAACAGCCGCCGGAGTTTGGTGGTTCTTCACCCTGATCATGGTATCGTCGTACACTGCAAACTTAGCCGCCTTTTTGACAGTGGAGACGTTCGTCACGCCTTTCAGCAACGTCAAAGAGTTGTCGGAGCAAACCGAAATCAAGTATGGAGCGAAAAGGGGAGGGGCAACTGCAAACTTTTTCAAAGTAGGTGGTACTAGTGTGGGTACAAGTACTAGATTGGTTTGTTTGTTTGTTGTTTTGTAGAATTCGGGCAATGACAGCGTTCGTACGAAAATCTGGAGCTTTATGGCCACTCATGACAACCAGATGACCGAAAGTAATGACGAAGGGGTGGAGCGTACCAAAAATGAGCACTACGCCTTCTTCATGGAGTCAACAACTATAGAGTACGTCGTTGAACGACAGTGTTCTTTAGCTAGTGTGGGGCAACCTTTAGACGACAAAGGTTACGCTATCGCAATGAAAAAAAGTACTTTAGTGTTAATCAAAGACGTTTTTGTAATTGATTGGTTGCAGATTCGTCGTACCGGAATGACTTAAGTGCCGCCATTTTGAAGTTGCAAGAAACTGGGAGGATTTCAAGGTTGAAGGAGAAGTGGTGGAAGGAGAAGCGGGGTGCTAGTAATTGTGGGGTTAGTATGAAGACTATTGTTTTATGGGGTGTTGATGGGGTGTTTCAGGCTCAGGGGGAAGAAAGCGCCGCCACCCCTTTGAATCTTCAGAATGTTGGTGGTGTTTTCCTGGTGCTCTTTCTGGGTACTGTGTTGGGTTTTATTATATCGGTGGTGGAGCTGGGGATTAGAGTTTATTCCAAGACGAAGGGTGTGGGGTGTTTCAAGACGGAGTTTAAGAAGGAGATGAGGTTTTTTGTGCAGTTTAAGCGGAATGTGAAGGATGTGTTGAGGAGGGGGTCGCAGGAAGGGTAGTAGGTGGAAGTGGTACTGAAGGGACCAATCAGTGTGCTTAATTTGAGTTATGATCTATGGAAAGGTCAAGGTTGGCGTTGTAACATATAGTGTAATAAAAAATTTTTTAGTACACAGTTGGTATTTGTCAAAAATTATCTTAGGATTTTTACTTTCTGAGTATCAGCTAATCGCTGATTTTCTGTTCTTCTTGTACATAGTAAATGGGTTTTAAATTTTATAAAATAACATACTCCTCTACGTATAGTTTATGAATCCGTGCTGAATTTTTGCTGAGACATCTATTGAATTGCTTATACAGAAATAAGTCCATTTATTTTACTAAATAAATCAAGAACTATTTTAACTTATACCGATTATAATAAAAAAATAAAATTGGCAAAATTAAATCTTATAATATTTCGAAAAAACAAATAACTTCAGATCAGTTTTTCAAATTTGCAATTCTACAGTTTTTTGATTTTTCAATTTTTCGGTTTGGAATATTTCGTTTTTTCATTTTTAAATTGTGTCATAATTTTGGAATTTTTCATTTTTACAGATTAATAAATTTTCGAGTTTAAAATTATCCAATTTTCCAATTTTGCAATTTTACAATTTTTAAATGTTTTGGTTTTTAATTGTTTGATATTTAAATTTTAGAAAATTTTCGGCTCCAAAATTTTTAGAATTTTTCAATTTTTTGAATTTAATTTGTTCAAAATTTTAAATTAATTTTTCAAGTTTACGATTTTTCAGTTTAATTATTTTACATATTTTCTTTCTTAAAGGAACCGATTTTTCAATTATTTTAATTTCGTTCTTTCGATTTTCTAATTTTACAATTTTTTGATTTCTCAATTTTGTAATTTTTCTTTTTACCATTTTTCGATTCATAAATTAACTAGTTTTATATTTACATTTTAATAGATTTTCGAATTCACAATTTTCCAATATTTTAATTTCGTAATTTAACAATTTTTCAATTTTTTGATTTTTAGTTGTTCAGAATTTCAATTTTAAAATTTTCGGTCAAACAGGTGTAAAATCAATTGATTTGATTTTACACTTGTTTGATTTTTCAAATTTATATTTCTACAATTTCTAGATGTATGATTTTTAATTTTTCAAAATGTCGATTTTCACTTTTTCAAGTTTTGTTTGTCAATTTCACATTTTTCGACATTTAAGTTTAATAATTTTTTTATTTTACATTTGATTTTTCAATTTTTCGATTTTAAAATTTTTCGATTATTGATTTTATATTTTACCAATTTTAGTTTTACAATCTATTAATTTTTCGATATTATGATCTTATAAATCTTTCGATTTTTTGATTTTTAGATGTTCAAATTTTCAATTTTAATTTTTCAAGTTCTGGATTTTTCAATTTAATTATTTTATAATTTAATTATATGACAATTTTTAGTGGTTAAAGTTTTCCGATCTTTCAATTTTTCGATTTTTAAATTTTATATTTTTTCAACTTTTTGATCTCTAAGTTGCTCGGTTTTTAATTAATCAATTTTTCAATTTTATTATTTATTTACAATTCGTTTTCGTCTTATCAAATATTTATATTTATTTTTTCAATTATCCGAATTTAATTATGTGGATTTTTCAATTTTTGATTTTTAATATTTCAAAATTTCAATTTCATGTTTTCCAAGATTTTGCTTTTTCAATTTCATAATTTTGCAATTTTTCTATTTTTAAATTTTAAAATTTTCAGTTTTGAAATTTTTTGAATTTTCAGTTTTATATTTTTACCATTTTTCGATTTCTAAATTATCCAGTTTTTTAATAAATCAGCTTTTAAATTATCATATTTTCCAATTTCTTGGTTTTTCAATTTTCGATTTTGGAATCTTTCGAATTTTCATTTTTCAATCGTTCGATTTTTCATTTAATAATTTTGCAGTTTTCCATTTTTACAATTTCATAAATTTTCGAATTCACAGTTTTCCAATTTTTCAATTTTGTAATTCTACAATTTTTCGATTTTTTGATTTTTGTTTGTTCAAAATTACAATTTTATTTTTTCAAGTTTTGATTTTAAAATTGTTCAATTGTCAATTTTATATTTTGCAATTTTTCAGTTTGACAGACTATTGATTTTTCGATTTTGTGATCTTATAAAATTTTCGATTTTTTGATTTTTAATTGTTCAAAATTTCTTATTGATATGTCAAGTTCTGGATTTTTGAATTTAATTATTTTACAATTTGTCGTCGTTAAAGGTATCCGATTTTTCAATTATTCGATTTTTAAATTATAGATTTTTCAAATTTTTGGATGTCTTGGTTACTTGGTTTTTAATTAATCAGTTTTTCAATTTTAAATTTTATACTTCTTCGTTTTTAAATTCTTCGTTTTCTTCTAATATTAGAATTTTTTTTTAAATTATCCGAATTTCATGATTTGGATTTTTCAATTTTTAATTTTTAATATTTTAAAACTTCAGTTTCAATTTTTACAAGATATTTTTTTCAATTTCATAATTTTTCAAGTTTTCAATTTTGTAATTTTCCTATTTTTAAATTGCCTCATTTGATTTTGAATTTTCGATTTTCATGTCTTTCTATTTTTCATTTAATAATTTTGCAGTTTAATAAATTTTTTGGAATTCACAATTTTCCAATATTTCAATTTTGTAATTTAATAATTTTTCAATTTTTTGATTTTTAATTCTCCAAAATTTTAATTTTTTTTCGTTTTTAAGAAAATCCGATTTTTCTGTTTTTTGATTTTACATTTGTTGTATTTTCCAAATTTATATTTTTACAATTTTTGGAAGTCTAAATTATTCGGTTTGTAATTAACCAATTTCTCAATTTTCAATTTTATAAAGCTTCGTTTTTTAAATTTTTCGTTTTTTCAGTTATTTAATTCGTAATTATCCCAATTTCATTGTTTCGATTTTCCAATTTTTGATTTTTAATTTTTCAAAATGTCAATTTTCAATTCCTCAAGTTTCCTTTGTCAATTTCATAATTTCGCAATTTTTCTAAAATTTTAATTTCTATTTTGCATTTGATTTTTAAATTTTTCAAGTTTTCAGTTTTACAGTTAATTAATTTTTTGATTTTGTAATCTTCTAAAATTTTCGATTTTTTGTTTTTGAATTCTTCAAAATTTCAACTTTAATTCAAGTTCTGGATTTTTCAATTTTTCGATTTTACAATTTTTGGTTACTCGGTTTTTAATTAATCAATTTTTCAGTTTTAAATTTTATAATTCATCGTTCTCAAAATTTTGCGTTTTTCAAATATTTAAATTTTCCAAGTTTTTGCATTTTAAATTTCATAATTCTACAAGTTTTCAGTTTTTCAATTTTATAATTTCTCTATTTTTTAATCGCCCCAATTTTTTAAAATTCATACCATTTTTCGGTTCAATAACTTTGCAATTTTTTTATTTTTCAATTTTATATTATATTACTACAAATTTTCGATTTCTCAACTGTGCGGTTTCTAAATCAATCCGTTTTTCAGTTACCAAATTTTCGAATTTCTCGATTTTTCAATTTTTCGGTTTTGTAAATTTGCCAAGTTTATAGTTATCCAATTTTTCAATTTTTTAGTTTTAGAATTTTTCAAATTTTTGATTTTTAATTGTTCAAAATTATAAATCTCAATCCTAATTTTATAAATCTGCGCTTTTTAAATTTTTCATTTCTTCAATTATTTAATTTTTAATCATCTGAATTGCATTGTTTTTTAGGTATTTCCAGTTTTTGATTTTTAATTTTTCAAAATTTCGATTTTGAATTTTCCAAGTTTTTGATTTTTCAGTTATCCAAATTTCATTCTTTCCATTTTCTAATTTTTTACATTTTAATATTTCAAAATTTCGATTTTCAGTTTTTCAAGTTTTTGATTTTTCAATTTCATAAAATTGCAATTTTTGATTTTTCAGTTTTGTAATTTTTCTATTTTATAATTGCCTGATGTTTCAATTTTAAAATTTCACCTCTTCGGTTTAGTAATTTTTGAAAATTTTTAATTTTAATTGTTCAAAATTATAAATCTTAATCTTAATTTTATACAAATTCGTCTTCTAAATTTTTCGTTTTTTCAATTATTTAATTTTTATTTATCCGAATTGCATTGTTTCGTTTTTTCAGTTTTTGAGTTTTAATTTTCCAAAATTTCGATTCTGAATTTTCCAAATTTTTGATTTTTCGATTTCTTAATTTCGTAATTTTTCGATCTTTAATTTTAATAATTTTTCTACTTTAAATTTAAGTGAAATTTCAATTTTTCAGTTTTAAAATTGTTAATTTTATATTGTGCAATTTTTCGGTTTTACAGTTTAATTATTTTCGATATTGTAATCTTATAAAATTTTCGGTTTTTTTGTTTTTTCAGTTATCCAAATTTCATTGTTTCGATTTTCTAATTTTTTGCATTTTAATATTTCAAAATTTCGATTTTCAATTTTCCAAGTTTTTGATTTTTCAATTTCATAAAATTGCAATTTTTGGATTTTTCAATTTTGTAATTTTTCTATTTTATAATTGCCTGACATTTCAATTTTAAAATTCTACCACTTTTCGGTTTAGTAATTTTTCAATTTTTTGATTTTCAATTGTTCCAAATCATAAATCTTAATGTTAATTTTATAAAACTGCGTTTTTAATTATTTAATTTTTAATTATCCGAATTTCATTATTTCGTTCTTCCAGTTTTTGATTTTTAAATTTTCAAAATTTCGATTTTGTAATCTTATAAAATTTTCGGTTTTTTGATTTTAATTGTTCAAAATTTGAATTTTAATTTTTCAAGTTTTTGATTTTTCAATTTCAGAATTTCGCAATTTTTAAATTCTTCGATATTAAGATCTTTCGTTGTTACAATCATTCAATTTTTTATTTTTCAGTTATCCTAATTTCATTTCATTTTCAAAATTTCAATTTTTGAATTTTTTGAGTTTTTGACTTACCAAATTAGGTGCCAAAATCCAATGAATAGAGGTTATCATAAACACCGGTTGTCAGTTGTCAAAATTGACAAATTGTGAACATTTTTAAATTACAAAAAAATTTAAATAATAAAAAAAAAGATGTATCCAAAACATAACCTAAATTTTTCGCATGTCACGATTGACATATCTGTCACACAGTTACTTTCGTTAGGCCAACATAAACGCAAGAAACATTGAAAAATACCACACATTTGTGGAGTTTGAGATAGGCAACACACAATTCACTTCGCTTGACGAAATTGTTTCTTTTGCCGGAAAAAAAATCTGATCTAACTAACTAGACTTAGGTTTCCACAAAAATAACACAAAAAATTATAACAAATAAATAATTTATTATCAACAACGAACAACAACATCACCCCATCACTCCGGGAACATACTTTTTTCGGGAATATCATCCATAACCGACGAAACGAGACCCTGGAGCACCGTGGTAACCACGTCCTTGAAAGGCACATCAATATCTTCCATAACGGCGTCCCAGTTGTCGTCCAGAATTTTATTCGGACTAACCCCTACACCAAAAATTAACCCCTAAATAATTAACCAAAAAAGCCAACTTTACCTGTATTGTTGAACTCCTTGTTAAGAAGATTATCAAACTGGAGGTGCACTCTTTTTACCGTATATTCCATAGTAGGTTTATTATACTGGAAGTAATTTTTTCCGTTTTTGCTTTTGTACGAACTTAGTGGCGCGTCAAAAGTGTAGCTACCCCCGACTGGAATAATAATTTAATCACAACCACGACACCTCAAACGCACAACACTTTACCAAATTTGAAAAAACTAGGTCCTGATCCTTCCAAATTCAAAAAAATCAGTCTCCCGTCCATTTCGTAGTCCGACTTCATGTCCAAATTGTCCACGTTAAGCGTAAACTTCAAGTTCGACTTGCTCACCCTAAATTACAAAAATTTAATAAAATAAGTAGGGGATGAAGAGTCAAACTCTGACTTGACGTTCGAAACCGTGATGTTCTCCAGCCCGTAAATGTGGAAGTTCTTGAGGGCCAGCCGCCACTTGTTCTCCTGAATGAGCTCCAGTAGTGGCAGAACAAGAGGGTTCATTTTGGGCACATTTCTCTCCTTATCTCCTACAAACACAAGCACAAGTCAAAGTGTAATTAAAAATCCCGTGAACCACCTTTGACCACAAAAGGAAGGGCGTAATTGGCTTGCTCGACGGCGCATTTGTCGAGATCTGATTTCTTGAGGGAACACCCTTTGATGTAGGGCGCTGGAAACGGGGATGATTAAAAGAAAACTAGGAGAAGTGGCTTACGTGGTGAGGCCGGCGAGGGTGGTGAGGCTGCCAGGGACAACACGCTGGCTGATAAGATTGCTAAGACGTACTTCATCGTGGGGGACTGCTGATGAGGACTGAAGGAGAAGAGTCCGCATGGGCTTTTATGTGGTTTGTGGATGTTTATTTTCTATAACGGAATATCGAGTAAAGAAATGTGGGTTAATGTGAGTGGAATGGTACTGGAGGCTTGATGTTTACAATTTTTTTTTGGTTGGAGTAGGTCTATTTGTCATGCGGTGTTAAGAATTTATTATTAGGAAGGATTTGATTTTTCGTATTTATTATTCCATTCGTGCCCGTGAACTGGAAGAGAGTTCACTTACCTACTTACCTACTGGTTGTCGCCAAGAATCCATCCTGCGGTACAGGTTTATGGAGAATGTAAAATTATATAAGTGTGGCTTACTTTGTTGTCTGACAAATTTAGTTAAAATCTGAATAAAAATACGAAATGAAGGCCAGTAAAGTGTGAATTTAGTGAAAATCTTGTAGGCAAACAAAGACACTTTTACCCCCAATAGCACAATTTTTTTTGGCGTGGAAAGCAGGACTGAATGTTAAGAGGATAATGTTTCACGAATAAACAAAAGCAGTTCAGGTCAGATATTATCTCAGTTTGTTACAATATGGCAAAAAAAGATTTGAAAGTTTAAGCGTGGGAGCTTCTGGGAACTGTTAGTATGCCGAAATTTTACGATCTCGAATATCATAGTATGTTGTTATCGTAGAATCCAACCTTGTTAATGAAACTTCTTTTTTATTCGTCTTGTATGAATATAGAAAGCATAGATAAGTATTTAGAGTTGCCTATAGTCAGACATTTTACATCACACAGTATAATAAACACAGTCATTAGGTCATTAGGTGACACTTCATCATAAATTATTAACACTGCACAACCACAAATGCATAATTTTCAGAAAATTATTAGTACGTCCTGAATAAATTATTCTTTTAATGTTTGCAGCCGCAGTAATTTTGCGTCATACTGTATTTATTATGGATAATTTACAGCTCCAGCTGTGTGAGTCAATTTAATTAGAATATTAGATAAAAATTGTTCTTACTTTGTATAAAAAATACAATAGGATATTCATACCTTGTAGCAATATTAATAAAAAATCATTTTATTACGTCGTTAAATAAATATACATTTTTGAATTGTTAGGAATTTTACCGAAGGGACTTATCAACGTCTGCAAACGGAAATAAGGTTAGCAGGAAGTCCATCGGAAACACCGACGTGGCAAAGGCGAAGGAAATCTGTGCAAACAACTCGAGAGATTTATTATTTATTTAAGTGTCAAGATCTTCACGCGTCTGAAAATCTTGACCTTTATTTACTGAATAGCGTTGTTAAGCCACAACAAACACTTTTAATGTTGTTTTTTATTTTTTTGTGTTTAGTGCTATTCACTTCTTCGTTTTTGTTTTATTAACACTTATAGTTGCAAAATTCAGGCATTTTGGGGAAATCTTTATTTTTTGATCAAATTATCCGAAGTCCAAAATTTTCGAAATTAGGATATATCAAACTATCTCGCTTAAATTTTACTCCAATTTGTCTGAAAATTGCTCTCTTGCCTAATTCGAACCACTTGTATAATAATATGACATCAAACAAATTCCAGGGCTGCCCCTGATATTTTTTTATTTTTTTTTTTATATTTGAACCTTCTGAAAATGACATCGTCCGATATATACGGTCGTATAGATTTAAAACCGTCAAAGACTTCGAGCTGAAATTTAACCAGTGTTACTACAAAACTTCTAGAAAGCGAATGATGAAATCCAGAATTCTGTATCTCAGTCGGTTCCGGAGTTATTGATCGTCAAACTCTAAATTTGTTTTCTGAGTATCGGTTTAAGAGGTATTTCGTTTAAAATAATGAAAATGTTCCACAATTGGAAACAAAAATGCATTCAGTGTTTCAAAATTGATATCGAGTCTGAATTTCAGACATTTTGGGAAATGTTTATTTTTTGATCAAATTATCCGATGTCCAAAATTTTCGAATTTAGGACATTTCAAACTATCTCGCTTAAATGGAGTCCAATTTGTCTGAAAATTGCTCTCTTGCCTAAATCGAACCTTCTGAATAAGAATCTAGCATAAAAAAATTCCATTGCTGCCCCTGATATTTTTTTATTTTTTTTTTATATTTGAATTTTCTGAAAATGATATGGTCCAATACATACGGTCGTAGATTCCTAACAGATCAAGACTTAAAAATGAAACTTAACCAATATGACTACGAAATTTTAGGAAAGCGAATGATGGAAACCGGAATCCTGTATCTCAGCCGGTTCCGGAGTTAGTGACTGTCAAAATTCAGGCATTTTGGGAAATATTTATTTTTTGATCAAATTATCCAAAATTTTCGAATTTAGGACATTTCAAAGTATCTCGCTTAAATGGATTCCAATTTGTCTGAAAATTGCCCTTTGTCCTAATTCCAGCCTCCTGAATAAGAATCTGGAGACAAAAATATTCCAGGACCGTTCTTGATTTTTTTCTTAATTTTTTAATTTCGACTCATCTGAAAATGACACCATAGGATATATGTGACCGTAGATTCAAAATGGACAAAGATTTCGTTTTGAAGATAAGTCAGTAAAACTAGAAAACTTAAAGAAACCGAATTATGAAAACCGGAATTCTGTATTTCAGCCGGTCCCGGAGTTATTGACCGTCAAACTCAAAATTTAGTTTTTGACCGATTAAAGAAGGATTTCGATTAAAATAGTGGAAATTTTCAATAACTGATGACAAAAATGAACTCAGTGTTTCAAAATTAATAAGCAAACTGAATTTCAGGCATTTTGGGAAATGTTTATTTTTTGATCAAATTATCCGAAGTTCAAAATTTTCGAACTTAAGACATTTCAAACTATCTCGCTTAAATGGATTCCAATTTATCTGAAAATTGCCCTCTTGCCTAACTCGAACCTCCTAAATAAGAATCTGGAGACAAAAATATTCCAGGACCGTTCTTGATTTTTTCTTATTTTTTTAATTTCGAGTCATCTGAAAATGACACCATAGGAAATATGTGACCGTAGATTCCAAATGGACAAAAATTTCGTTTTGAAGATAAGTCAGTAAAACTAGAAAACTTAAAGAAACCGAATTATGAAAACCGGAATTATGTATTTCAGCCGGTCCCGGAATTATTGACCGTCAAACTCAAAATTTAGTTTTTGACCGGTTAAAGAAGGATTTCGATTAAAATAGTGGAAATTTCCAATAACTGATGACAAATATGAACTCAATGTTTCAAAATTAATAAGCAAACTGAATTTCAGACATTTTTGGAAATGTTTATTTTTTGATCATAATATCGGAAGTCCAAAATTTTCAAAGAATCTCACTTAAATGGATTCCAATTTGTTTAAAAATCACCACCTTGCTTAACTCGAACTACCTGAATAAGAATCTATTAAAAAAAAAAAATCCAGAGCTGCTGCTGATATTTTTTTTATTTTTTTTATATTTGAATCTTCTGAAAATGACATCGTCCGAAAATACCATCGTAGATTCCAAACGGACAAGGATTTCGAAGTGAAAATTAACCAGTCTAACTACAAAACTTGAAGAAAACGAAAGATGAAAACCGGAATTCCGGATCTCAGCCGGTTCCGGAGTTATTGACCTTCAAACTCAAAATTTGGTTTTTGAGTATCGGTTAAAGAAGGATTTCGATTAAAATAGTGAAAATTTTCAACAGCTGATAACAAAAATGCACTCAGTGTTTCAAAATTGATATAAAGTCTGAATTTCAGGCATTTGGGGAAATGTTTATTTTTTAATCAAATTATCCGAAGTCCAAAATTTTCGAATTTAGGACATTTCAAACTACTTCGCTCAAATGGATTCCAATTTGTCTAAAAATTACTATCTTGCTTAATTCGAACTACCTGAATAAGAATATGATATCAAAAAAAATCCAGAGCTGCTGCTGATATTTTTTTATTTTTTTATATTTGAAACTTGTGAAAATGACATTGTCCGATATATACATCGTAGATTCCAAATGGACAAGGATTTCGAAGTGAAAATTAACCAGTTTAGCTACAAAACTTGAAGAAAACGAAAGATGAAAATCGGAATTCCGAATCTCAGCCGGTTCCGGAGTTATTGACCGTCAAACTCAAAATTTCGTTTTTGAGTATCGGTTAAAGAAGGATTTCGATTAAAATAGTGAAAATTTTTAACAGCTGATAACAAAATTGCACTGAGTATTTCAAAATTGATATAAAGTCTGAATTTCAGGCGTTTGGGGAAATGTTTATTTTTTAATCAAATTATCCGAAGTCCAAAATTTTCGAATTTAGGACATTTCAAACTATTTCGTTTAAATGGATTCCAATTTGTCTAAAAATTACTATCTTGCTTAATTCGAACTACCTGAATAAGAATCTGATATCAAAAAAAATCCAGAGCTACTGCTGATATTTTTTTTAATTTTTTATATTTGAAACTTGTGAAAATGACATCGTCCGATATATACCATCGTAGATTCCAAACTGACAAGGATTTCAAAGTGAAAATTAACCAGTTTAACTACAAAACTTGAAGAAAGCGAACGATGAAAACCGGAATTCTGTATTTCAGCCGGTCTCGGAGTTATTGACCGTCAAACTCAAAATTTAGTTTTTGACCGGTTAAAGAAGGATTTCGATTAAAATAGTGGAAATTTTCAATAACTGATGACAAAAATGAACTCAATGTTTCAAAATTAATAAGCAAACTGAATTTCAGATATTTTTGGAAATGTTTATTTTTTTATCATAATATCGGAAGTCCAAAATTTTCAAAGAATCTGACTTAAATGGATACCAATTTGTCTAAAAATCAGCACCTTGCTTAATTCGAACTACCTGAATAAGAATCTATTATCAAAAAAAATCCAGAGCTGCTGCTGATATTTTTTATATTTTTTTATATTTGAATCTTCTGAAAATGACATCGTCCGAAAATACCATCGTAGATTCCAAACGACAAGGATTTCGAAGTGAAAATTAACCAGTCTAACCACAAAACTTGAAGAAAGCGAAAGATGAAAACCGGAATTTCGGATCTCAGCCGGTTCCGGAGTTATTTACCGTCAAACCAAAAATTTGGTTTTTGAGTATCGGTTAAGGGAGGATTTCGATTAAAATAGTGAAAGTTTTCAACTGCTGATAACAAAAATGCACTCAGTGTTTCAAAATTGATATAAGGTCTGAATTTCGGGCCTTTGGGGAAATGTTTATTTTTTAATCAAATTATCCGAAGTCCAAAATTTTCGAATTTAGGACATTTCAAACTATTTAGCTCAAATGGATTCCAATTTGTCTAAAAATTACTATCTTGCTTAATTCGAACTACCTGAATAAGAATCTGATATCAAAAAAAATCCAGAGCTACTGCTGATATTTTTTTTAATTTTTTATATTTGAAACTTGTGAAAATGACATCGTCCGATATATACCATCGTAGATTCCAAACGGACAAGGATTTCGAAGTGAAAATTAACCAGTCTAACTACAAAACGTGAAGAAAGCGAACGATGAAAACCGGAATTCTGTATTTCAGCCGGTCTCGGAGTTATTGACCGTCAAACTCAAAATTTAGTTTTTGACCGGTTAAAGAAGGATTTCGATTAAAATAGTGGAAATTTTCAATAACTGATGACAAAAATGAACTCAGTGTTTCAAAATTAATAAGCAAACTGAATTTCAGACATTTTTGGAAATGTTTATTTTTTTATCATAATATCAGAAGTCCAAAATTTTCAAAGAATCTGACTTAAATGGATTCCAATTTGTCTAAAAATCAGCACCTTGCTTAATTCGAACTACCTGAATAAGAATCTCTTATCAAAAAAAATCCAGAGCTGCTGCTGAAATTTTTTTTATTTTTTTATATTTGAATCTCCTGAAAATGACATCGTCCGAAAATACCATCGTAGATTCCAAACGGACAAGGATTTCGAAGTGAAAATTAACCAGTCTGACTACAAAACTTGAAGAAAGCGAAAGATGAAAATCGGAATTTCGGATCTCAGCCGGTTCCGGAGTTATTTACCGTCAAACCAAAAATTTGGTTTTTGAGTATCGGTTAAAGAAGGATTTCGATTAAAATAGTGAAAATTTTCAACAGCTGATAACAAAATTGCACTGAGTATTTCAAAATTGATATACAGTCTGAATTTCAGGCGTTTGGGGAAATGTTTATTTTTTAATCAAATTATCCGAAGTTCAAAATTTTCGAATTTAGGACATTTCAAACTATTTCGTTCAAATGGATTCCAATTTGTCTAAAAATTATTATCTTGCTTAATTCTAAATACCTGAATAAGAATCTGATATCAAAAAAAAATCCAGAGCTGAGGCTGATATTTTTTTTATTTTTTTATATTTGAAACTTCTGAAAATGACATCGTTCGATATATACCATCGTAGATTCCAAACGGATAAGGATTTCGATGTGAAAATTAACCAGTCTAACTACAAAACTTGAAGAAAGCGAACGATGAAAACCGGAATGACGTATCTTAGTAGGTTCCGGAGTTATTGACCGTCAAACTAAAAACTTGGGTTTTTGAGTATCGGTTAAAGAAGGATTTCGATTAAAATAGTGAAAATTTTCAACTGCTGATAACAAAAATGCACTCAGTGTTTCAAAATTGATATAAAGTCTGAATTTCGGGCCTTGGGTAAATGTTTATTTTTTATTCAAATTATCCGAAGTCCAAAATTTTCGAATTTAAGACATTTCAAACTATCTCGCTTAAATGGACTTCAATTTGTCTAAAAATTGCTTTCTTGTCTAATTCGAACCACCTGAATAAGAATCTGGCATCAAAAAAACTCCAGAGCTACTGCTGATATATTTTTTATTTTTTTATATTTGAATCTTCTGAAAATGACATCGTCCGATATATACCATCGTAGATTCCAAACGGATAAGGATTTCGATGTGAAAATTAACCTGTCGAACTACAAAACTTAAATAAAGCGAACGATGAAAACCGGAATTCTGTATCTCAGCCGGTTCCGGAGTTATTGATCGTCAAACTCAAAATTTGGTTTTTGAGTATCGGTTGAAGAAGGATTTCGATTAAAATAGTGAACATTTTAAATAACTGATACCAAAAACGGACTCAATGGTTCAAAATTAGTATTTAAGCCGAATTTCAGGCATTTTGGAAAAAGTTAATTTTTTGACAAAATTATCTGAAGTTTAGAATTTTCGAAAAAATGTCAAACTATCCCGCTATGAATGGACTCGAATTTGTCTGAAAATTGCTCTATTGCCCAATTCGAACCGCTTGAACAAGAATTTGGAGTCAAAAAATTCTAGAGCAGTTCTTGATTTTTAAATTTTTTTTTAAATTCGAGTCCCTTGTAATAGGTACTTCATGAAGAATAGGGTAAAACCTCATACCAAGGTATAAGTAAAACCTCTCAGTTTACTAACAACTCTTTACTACACTAGCCTTAATACAAAAACATCAACAACTCATTCCGGAAAAATCTCCTTCTCCGGTACTTTGTCCAGAATCTTCGGAACAATCGACTCGATGATCGCACTCACAGTTTCCTTAATCGGAGCCCCCACATCCTTCAACACATCCTGCCAACTGTCATTCAAAATCTGGTTGATATCCGAACCTACAACCCTTCCATAAAACACCCGCCACAAAAAAATCAAACCAAGTACTTAGTTTCTGGTCTCCAGCGATAAGATTGTCCATCTGGAAATAGGCCCGCTTGAGCGTAAAATCAATCTTCGGTTTCTCCAGTTTCAAATATTCGAGCCCGCCCTTCGTGTACCGAGTAACCGCAGCGGTGACCCGATAGGTACCACCAACTAGAAAAAGCCACTTCATTCTGGAACCGTAGTACTAAAACGGTACTCACCCCCGGTCATGTTCGCCGGACCTTCACCCTGCAAAGTCAAGACCAAAACTTTCCCATCTGTGTGGTGAGTACCCACAAGGTTCAAATTTTCAATTTCGAAGGTCGCGTCGAACTGCGACGGGTCAAGACTACAAAAAAAATTTGTCACAAGTCTAGGATGTAACAATTTGTACTTACTTTAAAGCTGTGGCTTTGATGTTTCTGATTCCGAAAATCTGGACGTCTTTCAACGAGAGTTTGAAGTTGTTTTGTTCCACCTCGATTAAGGGTAGGCGGAGAGGGTCCAATTTCGGTATGCCCAAGCTTTTGTCACCTGTATTTAAACATTAGAACTATTTTTGTCAAATTGATTATTCACCTTTAACGATGTGAGGAATCGCCTCGTTGGCACTTTCCAGCGCACATTTCAAAAAATCCGGGCTTTTGGTGCTGCACGGTTTGATGTAGCTCGCTGTAAAAAATTTTCGTCAAAAAAAATTGGGTTAAATTTTTTGACTTACGTAGTTTTTGTTGTGCCAGCGCACACGCTACTACGATTTGGAGAACAAGCAGCCAATACATCTCGCTAACAATAAAACAAGACTGCAGTTAAACAAATTGAGCTTCTTTTTATAGTTGTGCCGGCCGCAAGTTTTACTCTTTTATTTTTTTTGTACCGGAACGCGTACTAAGGTTAAACATATATTGTGTAAAAGAACAATCATCGGGCGATTATCTCGTAGCGCTGGGACTCGCTACCGATTTGTGAATGTCTTGGGAACCACTCGTTAAATATGTTAACAAAAATGGGTGTTGATTGGTTATTAATTTAAATAATTATTACCAATCAAACAAGTTTGGTAAAAAGGCTGGGTTTTATTGGACACCGATTAATATATATATATAGGATTAAGTGATGTTAGGACCAATGGGTGGCATTCAGTGAAATTCGAGAATTTTTGTTGCCGTGCAAATAATTGTTCAAGGGCGCGAAGGTGATCACTGCAAACACGTTTTTACGGACTTAGTTGAAAAACAAGAAAAACCACGATTATTAAAATATAATTAGAATAATAACAATTTTTTTTCACAGAAAACACCCTGTATATTGTCTCTCGTGACTAAAATCGACAAAGCTGTGTCGCCTCTGTTGCAAATTTAGTTATTATTTGGTACAAAACCCGAGACGTAGCCGAGAAGTAAATACATTGTGATTTTTTACACAACGAGGAATACTCGGCATAATTAAGTTAAAACATAAACTCGTCAAGCTGCTTGATTATTAGATTTAAATATGCAAATTATCGCGCTGAAAGAGTAACCTCGATTAAATTTTGGCACGTGTAAAAACCATCTGAACCGTTAATCTACAAGAAATCTCTCATAATCGCATTTTTAACTTTATTAGTTGACAGTTGTTTAAATTAGTCATTTAAAATGCATTGTGTGTTCGGAATTTTCTTTCAATTCATCGTTGGTTGCCTGCGACCTTGTACCTTCTGGAAAATTACAAACCAAAATTGAATAGGCTTCGGCAAACTTAATTAAAATTTGTTTATTAAGTGCTTCAGAGAAATCTAAAATCGAATGTGCAAATTTATTAAAATGATTGATGGTGTACTGAGAAACTATGAATGCGTTTTATCCGTTTCATAAAAAGTTACAAATATTTTGGTTATTGTTTTAAGAATTAATTAAGTCTTGCATGCGTATAACAACTACGCAACCTTGACTTTTGGACGCAGAATCATCCTTAAAAAACGATTTCATTTGCCTTAGTGATTTTCCACGGTTTTTTAAGTTTCAGTTTGATAAAAATGTAAACCGCCACGGGATATGAGGCTTGTTGATTGGATTTTTATTTGTTTATACTTCGATGATCAAACTACTGGTTTTAGTTGGAAGGGGTTTATTAAGCAAACAATAAATAGTATGAATCACATAGTAAGGAACACGTTTTTTTCGGGAATATCATCCATTATTGACGAAACAATATCCAGGACTATGGTCGAAATCACCTCCTTGAAAGGTACGTCGATATCCTCCATAACCATGTCCCAGTTGTCGTCCAAAATTTTACTCGGGTTAATTCCTGAAATTAGTCCTGCTGAAACACGATTCGTCCTCGGGGATTTTTTACCTGTGTTGGCGAATTGCTTATGGAGGAGGTTTTCGAACTGCATGTGAACCCTCTTCACCCTGTAGTCCACACGTGGTTGACCAAATCTGAGGTAGTTTTTCCCGTTATTTTCGTACGGGGTTAAAGTGCCGTCGAAAGTGTAGCTACCCTTAACTGAAATCTCAAATCACTGGCTTTGATTACTCCCAATTTTTTTTTTACCAAATTTGACGAAACAAAATCCTGATCCTTCCAAATCCAGGAAAATAAGTCTTCCGTTCATTTCGTACCTTCCACTGGCCTCTAAATTGTCCACGTCGAGCGTAAATTTCAAATTCGTTTTGTTCATTCTACAACGAATGGGAAAAATGGACAGACACCCGGAAACACGAAACACTCACTTGACGTCCATAACCGTGATATTTTCGAACCCATAGATGCTCAGATTGGTTACACCCATTCTCCACTTATTATCCTGAATTAACTCTACCAGTGGTACAACCAGAGGTGTCATATTAGGGATTTTTCTTTCTTTATCGCCTGTAATACCACTACTTCCTAATCATGTAACAAAAACCTCTTAGCTACCTTTAACCAGGAACGGGATCGCGTATTTAGCTTGTCCAAGGGCGCATTTATCAAAATCTGGCCTCCTCAACTCGCACGCTTTGATGTAGGCCGCTGGAACCGAAGATGATTAAAAGAAAACAGGAAAAAGTGTCTTACGTGGTGAAACCGCCAAAGCGGATGAAATCGTTGCCGACAGAATCGCTAAGATGTACTTCATGTCGAGTGAGCCGGGGTGAGGATTGGCGACGGAGAAGAGTCGGATGGTCTTATATCGGGCTTATTTTTTGGGCGATTAGTCTCGATAACGGAATCTAGGGAAAAAATGTAGGGCAATAGAATGCAACAAGGCCGGTTTTTGCAGACGGTGCATTTCGATGGTGATTAATCGCAATTGCAGTTAATAAACGGATAATTATAGGCGGTTAGTTTTATGCGGTGTTTTATGACGCGGACTCCGGATCCACCCACTTGGCAACTGGTCGTCGTTAAGAATCGAATTTATTTGTAATTCGAGTTTATGGAGACGTAAAATTATTTAATTTTGCTGTGTGTTGAGTTGTCTTGGGTACAGTTAAACTTGCAGTAAAACTGCTATTTTGTACTTGGATGTAGAGAGGTTACCGGGTTTTCTCGGGTTACGTAAGTGTTGCACGTTGTTTTGTTCGTTACACGGTGGTTTTAAAATATTTTAGTTTTTTTAGTATTTTGCTACTGCATTTTATTTTTCGTTATTTTTTTTCACAATGAGAACCGAAATCACAGTAAGATACAATAATAATATACAGGGTGTTCTACTTGAAAATACAGAAATATATATATTTGAAGACTGCAACAATTTAGAATAACACACACTTAAAAAAACACAATTGCGATTTTTTTTCTAAGCCTTTGAAACATTCAAGGAAATTGGAATAACGTGGCAACGTCGCATCCAAATTTCAAAAACAAACTATGGTTATAAAATTTAGAAGAGCTTAATGAGACATCGAGGGTTGTTTGCTCACCCTGTATATTCAAGGAGCGTCGTCCCAAAATGTGTAAGTACGAAGTTACAGAGTTAAATATTTTTAAACACTCTATAACTTCAAAAAATATATATTTTTGTGTCAAAACCGCTCCTCAAGTTTTTTAAATGTGTGAAGAATCACCCTGTATATTTTCTTAATTGGTTTCAGATGTAACACACTATTAAAAAAAGTGGACATTTGATTTAAAAAAAATTATCAGACATTTTATTAAAATGTTAAAAAAATTATTTATTAACCTTTGTTGATTTAATGGGAATCGGCTTTTCGATGGCTTCTATCAGGTATTTATTTAAACATTTGCTCTAGTTAGCCATGACGCTTCGTCGGCTGTTCCAGTTGGACTAATGACGTGCACGTCATGGCCAGCTAGAGAATACAAATTTTTTGATTTTTTTTTTTTTTTTTATAATGTTACAAAAAAAATCGCAGTTGGGTTATTTTCAAAATTTGTGTTACAATATTTGGTGAAGACATAAATAAAGGTGCGCAATTTGTTGTAATATACATAAAATTGAGTCTTAATACACAGGGTGTTTGTAAACAAAAATTAGATTTTTACAATTTTCAAATGCCGATGTTTCGTTTTTTTTTAATAAAAAGTCCTTTATTTTGTTACAATAGTTATGAAATGAGAACTTGAAAAATATATAGGGTGATCTATTTAAAAAAACTAGGTCGTGTGCTATGTCTTAAAGACAAAACACTGTGTATAGTCGAAAATAATTTTAGTGAATGCTGCTCAAATAATTACCTAATAATATCTATCATTAATGACATCGAGGACTGGCTGTTTAATTAAAATCGCAAATTTTGAGGTCTGTAACTTTAAAACTATGTATTTTTTTTACTCTGATTATTATTTTGGTGTCAAAAAAATGCCCGTAAAGTTTGTGGAATATATTACAAATCATCCTGTATATTCTATTAATTGGTTTCAAATTTAGCAAACCATTTAAAAAAGTGGACATTTGATTAAAAAAAATATTAGAAAAAATAGCAATGTTAAAAAATATTTATTAACCAGGCTTTTCAATGGCTTAAGTTGGGGTGATTTTTTAAATGTCTGCTCTAGTTGGCCATGACGCTTACGTCAGCCGCTTCAGTTGCACTGCTGACGCACATGTCATTGTCAACTAGAGTGGAAAATATTTAATATTTAAGGTATCACAGATTTTTCAAAATGTTTCACTCTGTATATTTTGTGGTTTACTTAACACTAATATACTACAGGCATTTTTTGGGTATTTTAGGATCTCTCGGAAAATAAATACAGGGTGAGTCGCTAAAATTATTTTCAACTATACCATAGTTTATTTTTGAAATTCCGATGCGACATTGTCACGTTATTCCATTTTTTTTAACTGTTTTAACAATGATTTTCAGTTTTAGTATTTTTCACTTTTCCGATTTTTCAAATTTTCTTCCATTTGTCAATTTTTCGATATTTCAGCTTTGGAATATTCCAATATGTCGATGTTTCGATTTTTCGATTTTCCAATTTTTCGAGTTTTAAATTTTAGATTTTTCTCTTTTTCACTTCATGGATACTTCCTTTCAATTTTTCCATTATTTAATTTTTAGGATTCTCAGTTTTTTGATGTTTCGATTTCTCGATTTTTCAATTTTCTACTTCTATTTTCAATTTTCCTATTTTTAAAATGTTTTATTCTTGAATTTTCGGTTCCATTTTTCGATTTCTCGATTTGTCAATTTTTTTTAAACTTTCCAGTCTTCCTGTTTTTATCTTTCCGATTTTTAGATTTTGGCCTATTTGGATTCCCCAATTTTTCAGTTTTTCCACTTTTCGTCTTTTCGATTTCTCGATCATTGAGGTTTTGCCTTTGATGTTTTAATTTTTGAATTTTTCTCTGTGAATTCTTCGATTTCTCGATTTCTCGGCTTTTCGATTTTTCAATTCTTTGATATTCTATTTTTCAATTCTTCGAATTTTAAAATTTTTGATTTTTCAGTATTTTGCACTTTTCGACTTTTCGGCATTTCAATTTTTAGATTTTCAATTTTCCAATTTTTCGATTTGTCAATTTTTCCACATTTGACGTTTCTAATTTTTTTATTATTTCGAATTTTCCATTTTTAATTTTTTTTAAGTTTCATTTTCTCAATGTTTCTATGTTTTGGGACTTTTCAGTTTTTGGATTTTTCAATTCCCGAATTTTTCGATTTTTCGATTTATCGATTCTTCGATTTTTTCCTTTCATGATTTTTCAATTTTTCGATATTTTAATGTTTCAATTTTTTAAATTTTAGACAGTTCTGTTTCTCGACTTCTCGAGTTTTCGATTTTTCAGTTTCTAGATATTTATTTTTACATTTCAATTTTTGGAATTTTTAAAATTTTCGGTTTTTAAATTTTTCATTTTATCGATTTTTTTTATTTTTGTTATTTCAATTTTTCAGTTTTTAATTTTTCGATTTTTCGATTTTGGCCGATTTCGATTCATCAATTTTTCGACTTTTCGACTTCTCGCCTTTTCGAATTTTCATGTTTCGATTTCTTGACATCTGGTTTTTCCATTTTTAAAATTTTTCGACGTTTCGATTTTTTTTAGATGTCTTGAATTTTCAGGTTTTCGGTACCTAACTTTTCGATATTTCAGTTTTGGGGTTTTTCAGTTTTTCGACTTTTCAAATTTTTCCATATTTTTATTTTTCGATATTCCAGTTTTGGGATTTCTCAATATGTCGATTTTTTGACTTTTCCATTTATCGATTTTTCGATATTTTGCTTTTTCGATTTTCCAATTTTTAGATTTTTAGTTTTAAAATTTTTCTATTTTTCAGTTCTCGGATATTTCTATTTTTCAATTGTTCCAATTTTTAAATTTTAGCTTTTCCAGTTTTCTGATTTTTTAAATTTTTGATTTTTCAATTTTTTTTGCACTTTTCGACTTTTTTCGGCATTTCAATTTATAGATTTTCGATTTTTCAATTTTTCGATGTTTTAATTTTTCTTCAATTTTCCAATTTTTCGACTTTTCGATTTATCGATTCCTCGATTTTTTCCTTTCAAGATTTTTCAATTTTTCGATATTTTAATGTTTCAATTTTTTTAAATTTTATACAATTCTGTTTCTCGATTTCTCGAGTTTTCGATTTTTCAGTTCCTAGATATTTATTTCTACATTTCAATTTTTGGAATTTTTAAATTTTAGATTTTTCAGTTTTTACTTACTTTTCAACTTCCCGATTTTAGATCTTCCAGCTTTCCAATTTTTCGATTTTTAAAATTATCGATTTTTGTATTTTTCGGTTTTTAAACTTTTAGTTTCTTCAGTTTTTCAATTTTTCGATTTATCAATTTTTTTATTTTTAATATTTCAATTTTTCGGTTTTTAACTTTTCGATTTTTCGAATTTTCATGTTTCGATTTCTTGACATCTGGTTTTTATAATTTTTAGGTTTTAGGTTTAAAATTTTTCTACTTTTCAGTTCTCGGATATTTCTATTTTTCAATTGTTCCAATTTTTAAATTTTAGATTTTTCAGTTTTTTTTTGCACTTTTCGACTTTTTTCGGCATTTCAATTATTAGAATTTCGATTTTTCAATTTTTCGATGTTTTAATTTTTCTTCAATTTTCCAATTTTTTGACTGTTCGATTTATCGATTCCTCGATTTTTTCCTTTCAAGATTTTTCAATTTTTCGATTTATCGATTTTTTAATTTTTAATATTTCAATTTTTCAGTTTTTAACTTTCCGATTTTTCGATTTTGCCCTATTTCAATTCATCAATTTTTCGATTTTTCGGCATCTGGTTTTTCCATTTTTAAAATTTTTCGACGTTTCTATTTTTTTTAGTTGTTTTGATTTTTTAGGTTTTCGGTTCCTAAATTTTCGATATTTCAGTTTTGGTGTTTTTCAGTTTTTCGATTTTCAAAATTTTTCCATTTTTATATTTTTCGATATTCCAGTTTTGGGATTTTTCAATATGTCGATTTTTTGACTTTTCCATTTATCGATTTTTCGATTTTTTTGCTTTTTCGATTTTCCAATTTTTAGATTTTTAGGTTTAAAATTTTTCTATTTTTCAGTTCTCGGATATTTCTATTGTTCAGTTGTTCCAATTTTTAAATTTTAGCTTTTTCAGTTTTTTGATTTTTAAATTTTTGATTTTTCAATTTTTTTTGCACTTTTCGACTTTTTTCGGCATTTCAATTTATAGATTTTCGTTTTTCAATTTTTCGATGTTTTAATTTTTCTTCAATTTCCCAATTTTTCGACTTTTCGATTTATCGATTCCTCGATTTTTTCCTTTCAAGATTTTTCAATTTTTCGATATTTTAATGTTTAATTTTTTTTAATTTTAGACAATTCTGTCTCTCGATTTCTCGAGATATTTATTTCTACATGCCAATTTTTAGATTTTCCAGTTTATACTAATTTTTCAACTTCTCAGTTTTAGATCTTTTTGTTTTCCAATTTTTTGATTTTTAAAATTATTGATTTTTCAATTTTTCGGTTTTTAAACTGTTCGTTTTTTCAATTTTTCGGTTTTTAAACTTTTCGGTTTTTCGATTTTGCCCTATTTCGATTCATCAATTTTCGATTTTTCAAATTTTTCCATATTTCTATTTGGCGATATTCCAGTTTTGGGATTTTTTGACTTTTCCATTTATCGATTTTTCGATTTTTTTGCTTTTTCGATTTTCCAATTTTTAGATTTTTAGGTTTAGAATTTTTCTGTTTTTCAGTTCTCGGATATTTCTATTTTTCAATTGTTCCAATTTTAGCTTTTTCAGTTTTTTGATTTCTTGAATTTTCGGTTTTTAAATTTTTCAGTTCCTCAGTTTCTTGATTTTTGAAACTTTCGACTTTTCGCTTTATCGATTCCTTGATCATCCTATATTTTTTTACAATAACTACAAAATCGAGGAAGGGGCTAGTGAGAACTTGAAAAATATATATTTAAAAAACTAGGGTGTTTGTTATGTTTCAAAAACAAAATACTGTGTATAGTCGACAATAATTTTTTGTGAATGCTACACAAAAACCTAATAATTTCTCATAACTAATGATATCGAGGTTTGAACACTTAGAAACACCCTGTAGATACTAAAATGTATCTTGCAAAAATTATAAAACTTTTGAAATTGTTTTCCTTAGCTCTTTAGTTGTGGACCAAAGCCTCTAAATTCAGAAAATGACAAAAATGGTAGGAATTGTCCAAAATTTACAAAAAAATTCTAAAATATAGACTTCGACGAGCTGAATTGAAAAATATAACGTGTTGATGGTTACGGACCAAGATTTTCGAAAGTTCCGGTTTCAAATTGGGATTTTTAAATTATCCCAAACGATTTTCATTTTTCATATGGTAATTCCAAAAAAATGGTAAGAACTTTCGAAGAAATGAAGCCAAAAAACATTTCCGGAGATTAATTTTTTGCTAAATTTCGGAGATGCTCAGGAAAAGACCAAAAATTTAAATGAAAAATTTTAACTTTTTTCAAAATAGCCCAAAAATTAAAAAGAAATTCTACTTATAAACATCTCAACGAGCTGAGGTGAAAAATAGAGCTTGTTGAAAGTCAGAGAAATTTTCATTTTTCATTTAGGTAATTCCGAAAAAATGGTAGAAATTCCTGAGACAAGACTAATTTTGCCAAATGATATACCTTCTAAGAAAATGAAGGGTGGGTGGGCGGGGATCGTACTTGATAAGATAAGATTGATTTTGCCAAAAGACATAGCCTCTAAGAAAATAAAGGGCGGGTGGGCGGGGTTAATATTTGCCAAGATAAGACTGATTTTGCCAAATGATATAACTTCCAAGAAAAAAAGGGCGGGTGGGCGGGGCTAATACTTGCCAACACTTCTGGAGTTTAAACTCAACAAGATAATGTGTTTTGCTAATTTCGACAGTGCTCAAGAAAGAACCAAAAATTTCATTTAAGAACTTAAACTTTTGACAGAATTGGCCAAAAATTCACGAAAAATTCTAAACAAAAATTTATATAAAAATTTTGAAATTTTCTACTTTAACTCTACACTTCATTGTAGATATTTTAAATGTGGACCAAAGCTGAACGGTATCCACGAAATCCAGAGAAATAAAATATTTTGACAACCCACTGTAAAAAATAGTGTAAAATTGACAAAGTTTAAAAATTTGTAATTCCAATTTCAAAAGTTTTCGAGTTTTGGCAAATTTTCATAAAATGTTCAAACTGGAGCTTTATAGAACTTCTGGAAACACTATTCTAATATGTTCTAAATCGGTGAGAATAAAAATAAAAAAAGTCGCCAAATCAACAATAGTGGACTTAACAATTCAGCTTCCAGGCATCTGTGACGACGTACTTTATTATAATTAAAATTCGCATTTTCCGAACAATAGTGCGAAAAAATTCGCACTTTTATTCATCGGTTGAAGGACAAGAGAACGCTCACATTTAAAAATAACACTTTATTTTATCACCACACATCTCGTAACACAATAAACGCCACAAAAGGTAAAATTAATACATCATCTTTAAATACATCCATCAACTAGCAATATTATCACGGTTTTATCACGACGTACGAAATAATAAAATTTAAAAAAAATTAAGATGCTAGGGCAAAATTATTTCGTTGTAGGGCACCCGTTCGAAAACACTGCTAGCGATAGCGTTACAAATTTTTCCAATCGTGGCACCAATAACCTGCTCGAAATCTTTCAGGACCTCCAGCCAGTTTTCATTCAGAAATTGGGTGGTTTGTTTACCTGCCAAAATAATAAAAAAAAATAGTAAAAATGCGTTTTAGTAACCCAAAAAATACCTAATGCCGCGTCTCCGAATACTTTTTCCACGTTGAATTCCGCTTTCTCAATCGTGAAACTAAACTCGTCTTTGGTGATTTTGGAAAATTCTTGATTCTTTTTCTTAATTAGGTCGTAGTGAAAGCCGTAACTGTAGTTGCCCCCAACTGAAAAAAAAAAAACCGAAGAATAAAGATTAAAAGTTAAATGCTTGGTTCAGTTCTTACAAGCTTTGACCACTCCGGGCCCCTCACCCTTGATGGGCAAAATCAAAATCCTGCCATCGTTGTGGAACTGACCCTTGAGAACAATTTCAGACAGGTGTACCACGACTTTAACATCCCGTTTTTCTAAATCTGAGCTAAAAATACAAAAAATTAAATTTGGGTCAATAAAACTGGTAGCAATTGGTTTACTGGAAAAATACGAGTTCTGCTTTATCAAGTCCTGTGATTTCAGCATCGGTGATATTTAGCTGAAAGTCTGCTCTATTTTCCAGTTGGATGAAAGGTAGTTTGAGAGGTGACAAAGGCTGCAACCGCAACGATTTTTCTCCTAAAAAAAAATAACAACCACAATCAGTTTAAATTTTCCAAAAACGATAAACTTTACCATGAACTAAATGTCTGATTGCTTCTTTCCCGCTCTCAAGACCACACTTGTCGAATTCCGGATCGCTTGCTCTGCACAGTTTGATATATTTAGCTGAAAACAAACCTCAACTCGTGTCTAACTCGATTTTTGCCAATCTTACGAAGCGAAACTCCCTCGGAAGCACCCAAGATACATCCGGCTACGACAACGCACCAAAGCAACATCCTGCTGATCGTGAAGAAAAAAGTGTGTGCAAGTGCGTGTAAAACCACCACTTTTATATCCACTTCATTTCGACTGTAACCTTAAGTTACGTCACACGGAAACTTCTTTTATCTCTTCCAATCATTCGATTTTTATTAGTGTGACATTCAAATCCTACCTGTGAACACAGTGCAATTAATAATTCATCAAAGAAACTTTTTTCCTTTGTCGTATATTATAATTTATGGAGTCGTAATTATTATTCAAATTAAACTCAGTAACCTTCCGCGCTTCATGATTTGTATTGTCGCTGAACTTCAATGTAGTTTAGTCGAGGAATGTTAAACAGGAAATTTCCGACATGAGCTGTGTTCGAGCTAATATGGTCTTCTCCTTGAGCGCTGGTCTGGCTGAGGTTTACGAATCGTGGAGTCGTTGGCCTTTTTAAAGCGAAGAGGAAGTGGAGAGCGCTTGAGATTCTTTGATTGCGAAGTATTCCGGTTTTTTATATACAGTGTGTCCCATTTTAAGCGGCGACACCACTTAATTTTATTGCTTGTTGACAGCCGCGATAAAATTTTATAACCTACTTTGGATCATGTTTATTCATTGTGTCGTCTTCGAGGTTCTGAGATGGATCTGAAGCGAAATTATGTTGAAATATTTGAAAAAACTGATCTGAAAGACAAATTTTAGGTTATGGATTTGTGTACAAAAAATAATTAACAAGTTATCTCAGGCCAAGTCAGATCAATTAAATCAAACATGGTCAGGTCAAGTCAACTTACAACTATAATTATAACGCGGGCAGGAAAAGTCAATAAAAGCTAAGTCAAGTAAGGACAGTTCTCAAGTCGGGTTAGATCAGGTTAAGTCAAGTCAAGTCAGTTTAATTCAGGTCAGATCTAAACATGTTAAGCCAGGTTTAGTCAAGTCACAACTATAACAACAATGCAGGAAAGGACAGGTAAATCAAACTTAAGTCAGGTCAGACCAAGTCGGATCAGGATAGTTCAAGTCTTCTCAGGTCAGGTAAGGTTAAACAGGCCAATTCAAATGAGATCATATCAGCTCTGATTAAATTGTCTTAAGACCGGTTAAGTCAGATCAGGTCAAGTCAAGCCAGACAGTCCCATCAAAGTTAAATCAAGCAGATCAAGTCAGGTCTCAACAGTTAAAAATATCTCAAGACAAGTCAGATCAGGTGAGGTGAAGTCAGATTCTCAAGTCAGGTCAGGTCAGATCTTGTCAAAGATTTCATTCAACCAATGAAAATTTTCAAAAATTTCAAACACAAGCAAGCCACATTTTTTTAATATCCACAGGGTGAGTCATTAAACACCCAGTTATCGTTGTCATTAATATTAGATATTATTAGATTATTTGAGAGGTATTTTCCACTATACACAGTGTTTTATTTTGGAGGCGTAGCACACAACCTAATTTTTTTAATTAAAGCACCCTATATATTTTTCAAGTTGTCATTAACCTCTTCCTGGACTTTATAACCATTGTAATAAAATACAGAATGTTCTAGTTGAAAAAACTGAAATATCGACTTTTGAAAATCGTAACAATCTATTTTTTGTTTATAAACACCCTGTGTATTAATTCTCATTTTTATTTATACCACAACAAATCGCACATGTTTATTGATTTCTCCACAAAATATTGCAACACAAATTTTGAGAATAACCCAATTGCGATTTTTTTCTTACATTACTAACAAAATTAAAAAAAATATATTAATAAGGTCAGATCAAATCGTGCTAAGTCAAGTCCGGTTGGCTTAAGCCACAATTATCATAACCACTCAGGTTAGGACAGGAGTCAAAAGCTAAGTCATGTCAGATCAAGTCAGATTATGATCGAAACGTCTCAGTTAAAGTTAGAATAGGCAAATTAAGTCAGGTCAGGATAGTTGAAGTCATCTGAGGACAGGTAAAATTAGACAGATCAAGTCCAATTTGGTCTTACTAATCGTTCTAAGTCGAATTAGGTCGGGTTAGGTCACTTCAAGTCAGGTCAGATGAAGTCAGATCAAATTGGGCAAGACAAATTAGACCAGATGGATTAAGTCAAAATACGACAGATTTGTACAAATTGCGTCAGGTCTGATTAAGTCAGGTCAGGACAGTTCAAGTCATCTCAAGAATGGTTCAGTTCAAGTCTTGTCAGGTCAGATAAGATTAGATAGGCCACGTTAAATGAGGTCTGATTAAATCGTCTTAAATCAGGTTAGGTCAGATTAGGAAAATCAAGTCAGGTCAGGTTGGATCTAGTCAGGTCAGGTAAGGTCAGATCAGGTCAGACCAGGTCAAGTCAGGCCATCTGAGATAGAGACAGCTCCATAAAAGGTAAATGAAATCAGATCAAGTCAGGTCTGACAGTTTAAAATGCTAAAGGCAGGAGAGGAGGAGAGTACAAGTTAATAATAATAATAATAATAATAATTTATTGCACTCAACAGAGATTAATCTCCAATTACAGAATACAAAACAAAAGTAAAAGTACAAAACAAAAGTAAAAAACAAAAGTAAAAGTAAATAGTAGTCTAACAGAATACAAAACAAAAGTAAACAAAAGTAAATAGTAGTCTAATAAATAATTAAATACAACGTATGCCAGCAAAATATATCTAAACATCAAGAAAAAACAAAAAAAAAAAAAATAGAACAGTAAGGATAGCTCATTATAAAAAAGAGTAGAACAAAAATTCTGACGCTCTGTAATTATGTGTTATGCTGTAAATGTATGGATTTCGATTGAAAAAACTTCCTTACCGCTACACCCTTGGGCCAAAAAGATGCAGCCAGAATATCATTTTGATATACAAAATCGATAGTAAGTTTGAAAGAACTATATAACTCAGGAAATTTAGAGTCCAATTTAATAAGCTTAAAGTCAGGAAGACGTTTATTTTTCAGCACTTCTTCATGGGATTTTAACTTAAATTTGATATAATCAGTAATCTTGTTCACATCAACATTAGGGTTTACTCTTGTAATATGTATATGACTGCTTTTTTTTCTGGTGACAGCTACGAAATCATGATCACTCGATGACAAATCTGACGAACCTGAACTAGAAGCTATATCTGCTGAGCCAATAATTAACTTACTTACTTTCGGCCGACGTTTTAAAGTATCACCTGTTACCTCCTTCTCAGAAGGATTTTTACCATTGTCTGAAGAATTATTTAGATCAACTTCATTACATGAATTCGTATTAGGATAAATAATAGTGTTCCGTATTTCAGGTTCGCTTTTGTTTACCACTTTTCTTGCTTCCACACCACTCACGTTTTTATTCATAATCTTACTCGAAAAAGCGTCCATTGATGATAAACTACAATCAGTGGAGCCTCCCAAGTTGTTCGAACTTTTTATCAAAATGTCTATCATCTCACTTTGCGTTTTTACACGATCCCTTAGCTCCTTTATAATTTCGTCTTTTTGTTTAATAATATAATTGAAAACAGCAATATCAACCTTTTTCTCAGGTCCACTCATTTGTTCCATTGCTTCAAAAAACTCAGAATCTTCGCACACAACAGGAGGCATTTTCACTTTATCACAGCAAACTAAAGACTTACTGTCCAAAATTTTTACATAAGATACACCCTTGGCACAACTAAGGTGGTACACATTATCACACGATATACATTTTAATGCACTGACAACTTTTGATTTACATTTTCTGCAGATTTGTGCAGACGTACCGGACTGACTACTACTATTGGCATCCATCTTGGCAAATTTGTTAAGTTAAGTCAGGACAGTTCAAGTCATCTCAGCTTAGGTAAGATTAGACAGGACAATCAAGTCAAGTCAGATCAGGGCAAATTAACTCGTACTATGTCAGATCGGGCATATCAAGTTAGATTAAATTCGATCAGGGTAGGCCAAGTCAGGTCAAGTCAGACGAGGTCATCTAAGGTCAGATGAAGTCAACTCAGGTCTGGTTAGGTTAAGTCACAACTAACATAACAATACAGGTTAGGACAGATGTACAAAAGTTAAGTCAAGTCAGATCAAGTCAGATTAGGACAGTTCAAACATCTCGTTAAAGTCAGATTTGGCAAACCAAGTCAACTTGAGTAAGGTCAGATCAAGTCATCGAAATATTTTGATCAAGTCAGATTAAGCAGATCAAAACAAAAACGCAGGTAAAGACAGATAATAAATGTTAAGCCAAGTCAGTTCAAGTCAGGTGAGATGAGGTCAGGTCAAATCGGGCTTGACAAGTTAGTCCATATTGATTAAGTCAAGGCAAGACAGTCAACACAAATTAGGTCAAGTCTGATCAAGTCAGGTCAAGACAGTTCAAGTCATCTCGAGTCAGCTTTAATTAGGCAAATCGATTAGGTCAAGTCGGATCAGGGTAGAACTCTTGTTAAGTCAGGTTAGGTTGGTCTAGCCAGATCAAGTCATTTCAGGTCAAATCAGATCGAGCGCATCAGGTTAGGTCAAGTTAAATTTGGACATGTCACAACTAAGCTAAGGACACATCAACGCAAGTTAAGTCAGATTAGGTTAAGGCAGCCAGGACAATTCAAGTCATATCAGACAGGATCATTTCAGGCCGAATCTAGTGAAATTAGGTCAGGTGGAATCATGTTCTAGGGAGGTACGTGTGCATAAAAGTCAGTTAGTTCAAATCCGATATGGACAGTTCGAAAAATCTCAGGTCAAATCGGATTAGGCAAATCAAGTCAAGTCAGGTCAGAGCAAGTCAGATTACGTCAGTAAGTTCTAAATATTTAGGATCAAGTTAAATTAGTCACAACAAGTTATGTTAAGTCAGGTCAGATGAAGTCAGATTAGGGTAATTCGAAACATCTTCGGTCAAGTCAAGTTACGACAGATCAGTTAAGCTCCAGTCATCTTAAGTCGGATTGGTTAAGTCACAAGAATAATAACACCTCAGATATGTACAAGTAAATACAAGTTAGGTCAAATCAGATTGAGTCAGATCAGAACAGATCAAGTCAAGTCGAATCAGAGCATGTCAGGTCGAATTATTTTATATCAGGTCTAGTTATGTCAAGTCACAAATATATTAACAACATTAACGACATAATATCAGGTCAGGCAAAGTCAGTTCAGGGTAGTTCAAGTCGTCTAATGTCTTTTTAAATCAAATACGATAAGTCAAATCAGCT